GGCGTGACACTAGGTTGGTGTGTAATGGCGTGACACTAGGTTGGCGTGTAATGGCGTGACACTAGGTTGGTGTGTAATGGCGTGACACTAGGTTGGCGTGTAATGGCGTGACACTAGGTTGGTGTGTAATGACATGACACTAGGTTGGTGTGTAATGGCGTGACACTAGGTTGGTGTGTAATGGCGTGACACTAGGTTGGTGTGTAATGGCGTGACACTAGGTTGGCGTGTAATGGCGTGACACTAGGTTGGTGTGTAATGACATGACACTAGGTTGGTGTGTAATGGCGTGACACTAGGTTGGTGTGTAATGGCGTGACACTAGGTTGGGTGTAATAAAGTTTGGTCATCTAATGCATAAGAATATTACGCGGGGTAAAAAGTCACATATAGATAGAAAAAATTCTAATAACGCTTTCAATGACAACATGTTTAACTGGGCGATTGGTTTCCTGTAGCCACGCCCATATTCGTACAGATGGCAGTAAACTCTAGTCCAACTCTCAATATGTTTAGTTTATAGCCATTTCTGTTTTGGAGAGTTAGGGTTTGGCTTAAAGTTGATAATGTCAAATATGAAGTTTTGTAGGGTTAGGGTTGGAGTTGATATAGTCAGATAAGAAGTAGCTTTTGTTTTGTGGGGTCAGGTGTAGGGTTAGAGATGATGTGATGGCATGTAAAGCTGTTGTGTGCGAACTGTGATTCTGAACAAAACTGTGTGAGCCATCAATCGTGGATACCTAGCCCCAAGTAATCACCCCCCCCCCCTTTCTCCTCAACACGATGCATAGTGTTTATTTGTTTGCCCGTCCCCGCTCTGTTTGAAGTCATCTCAATCACAACAACCGGAGATAGAAAATAAAACAAGACATTGGGAAAACCCGAACACGCAAAGGGCAAATATTAAAGAACCGTAACTCTTTTTTAAAGAACCGTAACTCCTTTTTAAATGCTAAAGATTTCTGAGATAATCCGAAACTGCAATAGTGATGTTTTATTAACCTACTCTATTTAATATATGTAGAGTTGATAATTGTCCTAAATTATGTTAAACTAAGAAGAGATCTTGGAAGACAATTTCTAAAAATCGCTGTTGATAAAAATCACGCTATCTCTAGAGCGTATAATTGAGGTAACGGCGTTAATTTGTGTCGGTACGTGACAGATGTTTAGTGTGGATGGCCAATAGTGGGTGTGGTCCAACGGTCGAATTCAAGATGTTACTGTGTGGGGGAGGGGCAAGTCTAGGGGGCATCCTGAGGGCGAAATACTTCGCTGGAGTTGTCACACCCCAGTTAGGGTTGTCACATCCCAGATAGGGTTGTCATATCCATCTAGGGTTGTCATATCCCAGCTAGGGTTGTCAAATCCCAGCTAGGGTTGTCCCTCACCAGCTAGGGTCGTTGTCACATCCCAGTTAGGGTTGTCACATCCTAGCTAGGGTTGCCACATCCTAGCTAGGGTTGTTGTCACATCCCAGCTAGGCTTGTTGTCACATTCCAACTAGGGTTGTTGTCACATCCTAGCTAGGGTTTTCATATCCCAGTTAGGGTTGTCACATCCCAGCTAGGGTTGTCACATCCTAGCGAGGGTTGTTGTCACATCCCAGCTAGGCTTGTTGTCACATTCCAACTAGGGTTGTTGTCACATCCTAGCTAGGGTTTTCATATCCCAGTTAGGGTTGTCACATCCCAGCTAGGGTTGTCACATCCTAGCTAGGGTTGTTGTCACATTCCAACTAGGGCTGTTGTCACATCCCAGCTAGGGTTTTCATATCCCAGCTAGGGTTGTCATATCCCAGCTAGGGTTGTCATATCCCAGATAGGGTTGTAGTCACATCCCAGTTGTCACATCCCAGATAGGGTTGTCATATCCCAGCTAGGGTTGTCACATCCTAGCTAGGGTTGTTGTCACATCCCAGCTAGGCTTGTTGTCACATTCCAACTAGGGTTGTTGTCACATCCCAGCTAGGGTTTTCATATCCCAACTAGGGTTGTCATAAGCTAGGGTTGTCATATCCCAGATAGGGTTGTAGTCACATCCCAGTTGTCACATCCCAGATAGGGTTGTCATATCCCAGCTAGGGTTGTCACATCCTAGCTAGGGTTGTTGTCACATCCCAGCTAGGGTTTTCATATCCCAACTAGGGTTGTCATATCCCAGCTAGGGTTGTCATATCCCAGATAGGGTTGTAGTCACATCCCAGTTGTCACATCCCAGAGAGGGTTGTCATATCCCAGCTAGGGTTGTCATATCCATCTAGGGTTGTTGTCATATCCCAGCTAGGGTTGTTGTCATATCCCAGCTAGGGTTGTTGTCACATCCCAGTTAGGGTTGTCATATCCCAGCTAGGGTTGTCATATCCCAGCTAGGGTTGTCATATCCCAGCTAGGGTTGTTGTCACATCCCAGCTAGGGTTGTCATATCCCAGCTAGGGTTTGTCATATCCCAGCTAGGGTTGTCATATCCCAGCTAGGGCTGTTGTCACATCCCAACTAGGGTTGTTGTCACATCCCAGCTAGGGTTGTTGTCATATCCCAGCTAGGGTTGTCACATTACACTTTATAGCTGTAACTTATAATGTAACTTAGGTGGGGTGGGGGTTACATTCATTAAAATTTTAAATGCAATTATTGATGAAAAGATAATTTGATTCTAGTGTGCAATCCAGTGCGACCATTAATCAGTGTAATTGTTAGTGTGCAGTCAGTGTAAACTAGGCCTACACACTTAATACCGACAGCTAGTTGATTCGCCCCCCCCCCCCCCCGCTCAGCTTTCTCCAGTGCACACACACAGCTGACGTCATTGCGGCGATGGGCGTGGCTGGACTAGCCTTATCTCTACTAAATAACAGTACCATCGTCTGTACAATCTCTACTAAATAACAGTACCATCGTCTGTACAATAACAGTACCATCGTCTGTACAATCTCTACTAAATAACAGTCAGTACCATCGTCTGTACAATCTCTACCAAATAACAGTACCATCGTCTGTGCAATAACAGCACCATCGTCTGTAAATATCGCATCCCCCCCCTACTATAGCTATAACATAGCATCTCCCTCTACTGTAGCTACATTATCGCAGGCCTCCCTAGGACCCTATTTGCCTGCATTCACCCCCCCCCCCCCTCCCACCTCCGTACAGTCTGACTTACACTTGGAGATGAGAGGCGAGTTACTTGTTTTGTCTTACCTTTTACTTTTTAACACTTCTAGGCGTAGTCCTAGTTAATTAAAAAAAACCGAAACGGACATAGACTGGGAAAGTTGTTTAATTTATTCTTTACCGACTTAAAGAAAACACGTCTGAAATGTCGGTGGCATGGTCAGTGTTGGCAGACGACAAAATGTGGGTGTGGCTGGTGAAGTTTGACGTTTGTTCATGAACCTGCTCCGTACATCATAAGCCAGTTGGTGTCCTGCTCCGTACATCATAAGCCAGTTGGTGTCCTGCTCCGTACATCATATGCCAGTTGGTGTTTTTAAAAGAAGTTTCATGGAATTTGCGCTGCACGCTGCTAGTTTACTAATTACTTGTACAAACTACATTTCCGTTCATTTTTTAAGTCAATGATGTCTTCGGTTTAGAGTTTCTTTCAAGCACACCCCGGGACGAAATAGATATGTAATTTATTTTAAAATTGTATACTTGAACCAGTGCTCCCCCCCTTCTGAAAGAAACCCTGCTGACAATCATAAGCTACTGATATTTTTCCTGTCTTAAGTTTGCGATACTTCCGTCACCTGCCTATATAGTGTCACCCCCCCCCCCCCCACACACACACCCACATTGTAACGCTTGTGTTATTGTTTTATTAATTAAAATACGTTTGGAGAAGCCACTGTCAGAACTGTTCCCAAGGTCACGGCTGCTTTTTAAAAGGTCTACCAATGACCCAAAACATGCATGATGACCCAAAACATTCATGCACCAATGCGTCACATCCCACTTTTACTTCCGCAAATAAAAATAAATAAATAAGGGAGTTAACCTTTTCATATTTTAAAGCACTTCAACTATCGAAAAGGTTGACCTCCCTTTGGTGCAGCGTCCTTGAAGCACAAAAGATTGCTGCTTGCACTAATAAAATTGGAAAGGAAGTGTGGGAGCGTAGATAAGCTTTTGTATAATTTACAGACTACCTGCAATGGAAACTAGTTTTATATCTGGACACAACCTAAGGGCTTTCTGGAACTTTGTAAATTTGTAATGGTGGATGTCATGTGACTAGATGTCATGTGATGTCTGCCAACCGGTAGATCTAAAGTATTCTCAAGTAAATAGTTTAATAGGGGTGGTAATCTAAAATTCTAAAAATCTAGTCTAAATGTTGTCTTAGACTCTAACTCTAGTCTAGATCTAGATAAAATATTAAAAATCAAAATGATCTAGATTCTATCATTCTAGCTGCTAAATCTAGATTCCATTTCATTTGATAATCATTTACTTTGCTTATTGAAATGTAGGCCTATAGTCTACTATATATACTATATATAGGTCTAGTAGTACTATTAAATTAAATTAAAATCACACCTAACACTGCACAACAGTGAGTAAGCCTACTTTTAACTTTAAGTATTAAGTAAGGGTACTTTAAAAAATACAGTTGGCCAATATTCCCATCATTCAATTTTTGGCTTGCGACAATAATGATCTAGTCCAGATCAAGAATCTAGATCTATCTCTAGAGTATAGAAAGATCTGTATTATTCTAGAATAGATATGCCATGCCGACATGTTTAGAAGTAAAAAGCAGTAGCACTACATTTTAAAAAAATTATTGTTACTAGAATCTATGTAAATTTAAGAGGTTATGAACTATGCATCATAACCTTGACCTCCAGACTTTGTATATCTCCAAGCTATAGTTGCTCACTAGAGTTTCTTCCAGGCATCTCTTTGGCAAATGTATGTGACAAATGCCCACTGTCCCCACGCTATAATTATATGTGACCTATGCTAATATCTAATTATCTTTGTCCAACCTTTCAGGTAAATAACAATGGTGTGGTTTCGTTCAAGAAGGAGCTTGTTGATTTCAAACCTTTGAGGTTTCCTCTGGAAGATGAGACGCCCCTTATTGCTCCCTTCTGGGCTGATGTTGACATCTCTCCTGATGGAGACAATGGCACTGTTTGGTATAGGGAGTCCAAGGATCCAGAAATTTTAGCCAAGGTAAGTTGCAACATAACAAAACATTTTTACCTGGCTATTTACATCAACTTATTTAACTGAAGCAAGATATTTTTTAAAAACTACAACTATTTATAAATAACAAATTAAAGTTAATAAAAAGTCTAGTGACAATTTAAGCGCAATTTCCTTAATTAATTTTTTGTGACCGAACGAAAGGATATTTTTGAAAACCTTTTTCGGCAATATTGTACTAAATTATGGCAGGAATCAATTGGTAAATGTTTCAAGTCGCTAAGTGGTCTGGTTGCCGAGATATGGGCCAAAAACTGCATTTTTTTCGAGGTTTTTTGGCTTTTACGGGAAATCCAGGAAGGAATTCCGGGAATTTTTTTGGCCCACAATCATCCTCGGAACTTGCTTAACATATTTGCTTTTGGAACTAGTCCTCGATATTGCTTCATTGAGGAGGAGATACGACTTAAAGCTACGGACACACATCCATCCATCACCAGAAATGACGAGTTAATAATCGCAATTGTCCAGTATGGAAATTGCGCTAAAAAATAATTATAGCTCTGTTACAATTTATTTAAAGTTGAATTAACTTACTATAAAATAATTGTAATACTAAAGTATTTGCTGTCTGAGGCAGTTGAGAAAGTGCAGAACTCTTCAGTTTTCTCTGGGAGATAAAGTTTAAAAAAAAAAAGGTTCCCGGAGATACAATGTTTAAATTAACTTTAAAGTAGTCAACGGCTAGTTTCTTTCTTGTACTAGTTAGCAGCCCATCATGTTAGTTCCTGGCAAACATGCAGATATGTGAGGCACACATCACAAGCTTTCTAATTGATTTTAGTTTTCACTGACTTGTTACAATGGTCTTATCATTCAGTGACATTAAACTAACCAGAAACTTTGTATCATTCAGTGACTTTAACCAGAAACTTTGTATCATTCAGTGACTTTGACCAGAAACTTTATATCATTCAGTGACATTAAACTATCCAGAAACTTTGTATCATTCAGTGACTTTAACCAGAAACTTTGTATCATTCAGTGACATTAAACTAACCAGAAACTTTATATCATTCAGTGACTTTAACCAGAAACTTTATATCATTCAGTGACATTAAACTAACTAGAAACTTTATATCATTCAGTGACTTTAACCAGAAACTTTATATCATTCAGTGACATTAAACTAACTAGAAACTTTATATCATTCAGTGACTTTAACCAGAAACTTTATATCATTCAGTGACATTAAACTAACTAGAAACTTTATATCATTCAGTGACTTTAACCAGAAACTTTATATCATTCAGTGACATTAAACTAACTAGAAACTTTATAACATTCAGTGACTTTAACCAGAAACTTTATATCATTCAGTGACATTAAACTAACTAGAAACTTTATATCATTCAGTGACTTTAACCAGAAACTTTATATCATTCAGTGACATTAAACTAACTAGAAACTTTATATCATTCAGTGACTTTAACCAGAAACTTTATATCATTCAGTGACATTAAACTAACTAGAAACTTTATATCATTCAGTGACTTTAACCAGAAACTTTATATCATTCAGTGACATTAAACTAACTAGAAACTTTATAACATTCAGTGACTTTAACCAGAAACTTTGTATCATTCAGTGACATTAAACTAACTAGAAACTTTATATCATTCAGTGACTTTAACCAGAAACTTTATATCATTCAGTGACATTAAACTAACTAGAAACTTTATAACATTCAGTGACTTTAACCAGAAACTTTGTATCATTCAGTGACATTAAACTAACTAGAAACTTTATATCATTCAGTGACTTTAACCAGAAACTTTATATCATTCAGTGACATTAAACTAACCAGAAACTTTATATCATTCAGTGACTTTAACCAGAAACTTTATATCATTCAGTGACATTAAACTAACTAGAAACTTTATATCATTCAGTGACTTTAACCAGAAACTTTATATCATTCAGTGACATTAAACTAACTAGAAACTTTATAACATTCAGTGACTTTAACCAGAAACTTTGTATCATTCAGTGACATTAAACTAACTAGAAACTTTATATCATTCAGTGACTTTAACCAGAAACTTTATATCATTCAGTGACATTAAACTAACTAGAAACTTTATAACATTCAGTGACTTTAACCAGAAACTTTGTATCATTCAGTGACATTAAACTAACTAGAAACTTTATATCATTCAGTGACTTTAACCAGAAACTTTATATCATTCAGTGACATTAAACTAACCAGAAACTTTATATCATTCAGTGACTTTAACCAGAAACTTTATATCATTCAGTGACATTAAACTAACTAGAAACTTTATAACATTCAGTGACTTTAACCAGAAACTTTATATCATTCAGTGACATTAAACTAACTAGAAACTTTATATCATTCAGTGACTTTAACCAGAAACTTTATATCATTCAGTGACATTAAACTAACTAGAAACTTTATATCATTCAGTGACTTTAACCAGAAACTTTATATCATTCAGTGACATTAAACTAACTAGAAACTTTATATCATTCAGTGACTTTAACCAGAAACTTTATATCATTCAGTGACATTAAACTAACTAGAAACTTTATAACATTCAGTGACTTTAACCAGAAACTTTGTATCATTCAGTGACATTAAACTAACTAGAAACTTTATATCATTCAGTGACTTTAACCAGAAACTTTATATCATTCAGTGACATTAAACTAACTAGAAACTTTATAACATTCAGTGACTTTAACCAGAAACTTTGTATCATTCAGTGACATTAAACTAACTAGAAACTTTATATCATTCAGTGACTTTAACCAGAAACTTTATATCATTCAGTGACATTAAACTAACCAGAAACTTTATATCATTCAGTGACTTTAACCAGAAACTTTATATCATTCAGTGACATTAAACTAACTAGAAACTTTATATCATTCAGTGACTTTAACCAGAAACTTTATATCATTCAGTGACATTAAACTAACTAGAAACTTTATAACATTCAGTGACTTTAACCAGAAACTTTGTATCATTCAGTGACATTAAACTAACTAGAAACTTTATATCATTCAGTGACTTTAACCAGAAACTTTATATCATTCAGTGACATTAAACTAACTAGAAACTTTATAACATTCAGTGACTTTAACCAGAAACTTTGTATCATTCAGTGACATTAAACTAACTAGAAACTTTATATCATTCAGTGACTTTAACCAGAAACTTTATATCATTCAGTGACATTAAACTAACCAGAAACTTTATATCATTCAGTGACTTTAACCAGAAACTTTATATCATTCAGTGACATTAAACTAACTAGAAACTTTATATCATTCAGTGACTTTAACCAGAAACTTTATATCATTCAGTGACATTAAACTAACTAGAAACTTTATAACATTCAGTGACTTTAACCAGAAACTTTGTATCATTCAGTGACATTAAACTAACTAGAAACTTTATATCATTCAGTGACTTTAACCAGAAACTTTATATCATTCAGTGACATTAAACTAACCAGAAACTTTATATCATTCAGTGACTTTAACCAGAAACTTTATATCATTCAGTGACATTAAACTAACTAGAAACTTTATATCATTCAGTGACTTTAACCAGAAACTTTATATCATTCAGTGACATTAAACTAACTAGAAACTTTATAACATTCAGTGACTTTAACCAGAAACTTTGTATCATTCAGTGACATTAAACTAACTAGAAACTTTATAACATTCAGTGACTTTAACCAGAAACTTTGTATCATTCAGTGACATTAAACTAACTAGAAACTTTATATCATTCAGTGACTTTAACCAGAAACTTTATATCATTCAGTGACATTAAACTAACTAGAAACTTTATAACATTCAGTGACTTTAACCAGAAACTTTGTATCATTCAGTGACATTAAACTAACTAGAAACTTTATATCATTCAGTGACTTTAACCAGAAACTTTATATCATTCAGTGACATTAAACTAACCAGAAACTTTATATCATTCAGTGACTTTAACCAGAAACTTTATATCATTCAGTGACATTAAACTAACTAGAAACTTTATATCATTCAGTGACTTTAACCAGAAACTTTATATCATTCAGTGACATTAAACTAACTAGAAACTTTATAACATTCAGTGACTTTAACCAGAAACTTTGTATCATTCAGTGACATTAAACTAACTAGAAACTTTATATCATTCAGTGACTTTAACCAGAAACTTTAAATCATTCAGTGACATTAAACTAACCAGAAACTTTATATCATTCAGTGACTTTAACCAGAAACTTTATATCATTCAGTGACATTAAACTAACTAGAAACTTTATATCATTCAGTGACTTTAACCAGAAACTTTATATCATTCAGTGACATTAAACTAACTAGAAACTTTATAACATTCAGTGACTTTAACCAGAAACTTTGTATCATTCAGTGACATTAAACTAACTAGAAACTTTATATCATTCAGTGACTTTAACCAGAAACTTTATATCATTCAGTGACATTAAACTAACTAGAAACTTTATATCATTCATTGACTTTAACCAGAAACTTTATATCATTCAGTGACATTAAACTAACTAGAAACTTTATATCATTCAGTGAATTTAACCAGAAACTTTGTATCTTTCAGTAAATTTAAACTAAGCAGAAAAATATTTTTTTGCAGGCCACTCAAGAAATAAGGCAGTACCACTCAGCCTTCAAAAATTTTCGAGCTTTTTGGGTATTTATTGCTACATGGGAGGAGGTTGGATTTTTTGGGGCAGAAAGTCTAGGTCGTTTAAAGGTAGGTTGAGTGTTCTTATTCCTCTTTTTTGGGGCAGAAAGTCTAGGTCGTTTAAAGGTAGGTTGAGTGTTCTTATTCCTCTTTTTTGGGGCAGAAAGTCTAGGTCGTTTAAAGGTAGGTTGAGTGTTCTTATTCCTCTTTTTTGGGGCAGAAAGTCTAGGTCGTTTAAAGGTAGGTTGAGTGTTCTTATTCCTCTTTTTTGGGGCAGAAAGTCTAGGTCGTTTAAAGGTAGGTTGAGTGTTCTTATTCCTCTTTTTTGGGGCAGAAAGTCTAGGTCGTTTAAAGGTAGGTTGAGTGTTCTTATTCCTCTTTTTTGGGGCAGAAAGTCTAGGTCGTTTAAAGGTAGGTTGAGTGTTCTTATTCCTCTTTTTTGGGGCAGAAAGTCTAGGTCGTTTAAAGGTAGGTTGAGTGTTCTTATTCCTCTTTTTTGGGGCAGAAAGTCTAGGTCGTTTAAAGGTAGGTTGAGTGTTCTTATTCCTCTTTTTTGGGGCAGAAAGTCTAGGTCGTTTAAAGGTAGGTTGAGTGTTCTTATTCCTCTTTTTTGGGGCAGAAAGTCTAGGTCGTTTAAAGGTAGGTTGAGTGTTCTTATTCCTCTTTTTTGGGGCAGAAAGTCTAGGTCGTTTAAAGGTAGGTTGAGTGTTCTTATTCCTCTTTTTTGGGGCAGAAAGTCTAGGTCGTTTAAAGGTAGGTTGAGTGTTCTTATTCCTCTTTTTTGGGGCAGAAAGTCTAGGTCGTTTAAAGGTAGGTTGAGTGTTCTTATTCCTCTTTTTTGGGGCAGAAAGTCTAGGTCGTTTAAAGGTAGGTTGAGTGTTCTTATTCCTCTTTTTTGGGGCAGAAAGTCTAGGTCGTTTAAAGGTAGGTTGAGTGTTCTTATTCCTCTTTTTTGGGGCAGAAAGTCTAGGTCGTTTAAAGGTAGGTTGAGTGTTCTTATTCCTCTTTTTTGGGGCAGAAAGTCTAGGTCGTTTAAAGGTAGGTTGAGTGTTCTTATTCCTCTTTTTTGGGGCAGAAAGTCTAGGTCGTTTAAAGGTAGGTTGAGTGTTCTTATTCCTCTTTTTTGGGGCAGAAAGTCTAGGTCGTTTAAAGGTAGGTTGAGTGTTCTTATTCCTCTTTTTTGGGGCAGAAAGTCTAGGTCGTTTAAAGGTAGGTTGAGTGTTCTTATTCCTCTTTTTTGGGGCAGAAAGTCTAGGTCGTTTAAAGGTAGGTTGAGTGTTCTTATTCCTCTTTTTTGGGGCAGAAAGTCTAGGTCGTTTAAAGGTAGGTTGAGTGTTCTTATTCCTCTTTTTTGGGGCAGAAAGTCTAGGTCGTTTAAAGGTAGGTTGAGTGTTCTTATTCCTCTTTTTTGGGGCAGAAAGTCTAGGTCGTTTAAAGGTAGGTTGAGTGTTCTTATTCCTCTTTTTTGGGGCAGAAAGTCTAGGTCGTTTAAAGGTAGGTTGAGTGTTCTTATTCCTCTTTTTTGGGGCAGAAAGTCTAGGTCGTTTAAAGGTAGGTTGAGTGTTCTTATTCCTCTTTTTTGGGGCAGAAAATCTAGGTCGTTTAAAGGTAGGTTGAGTGTTCTTATTCCTCTTTTTTGGGGCAGAAAGTCTAGGTCGTTTAAAGGTAGGTTGAGTGTTCTTATTCCTCTTTTTTGGGGCAGAAAGTCTAGGTCGTTTAAAGGTAGGTTGAGTGTTCTTATTCCTCTTTTTTGGGGCAGAAAGTCTAGGTCGTTTAAAGGTAGGTTGAGTGTTCTTATTCCTCTTTTTTGGGGCAGAAAGTCTAGGTCGTTTAAAGGTAGGTTGAGTGTTCTTATTCCTCTTTTTTGGGGCAGAAAGTCTAGGTCGTTTAAAGGTAGGTTGAGTGTTCTTATTCCTCTTTTTTGGGGCAGAAAGTCTAGGTCGTTTAAAGGTAGGTTGAGTGTTCTTATTCCTCTTTTTTGGGGCAGAAAGTCTAGGTCGTTTAAAGGTAGGTTGAGTGTTCTTATTCCTCTTTTTTGGGGCAGAAAGTCTAGGTCGTTTAAAGGTAGGTTGAGTGTTCTTATTCCTCTTTTTTGGGGCAGAAAGTCTAGGTCGTTTAAAGGTAGGTTGAGTGTTCTTATTCCTCTTTTTTGGGGCAGAAAGTCTAGGTCGTTTAAAGGTAGGTTGAGTGTTCTTATTCCTCTTTTTTGGGGCAGAAAGTCTAGGTCGTTTAAAGGTAGGTTGAGTGTTCTTATTCCTCTTTTTTGGGGCAGAAAGTCTAGGTCGTTTAAAGGTAGGTTGAGTGTTCTTATTCCTCTTTTTTGGGGCAGAAAGTCTAGGTCGTTTAAAGGTAGGTTGAGTGTTCTTATTCCTCTTTTTTGGGGCAGAAAGTCTAGGTCGTTTAAAGGTAGGTTGAGTGTTCTTATTCCTCTTTTTTGGGGCAGAAAGTCTAGGTCGTTTAAAGGTAGGTTGAGTGTTCTTATTCCTCTTTTTTGGGGCAGAAAGTCTAGGTCGTTTAAAGGTAGGTTGAGTGTTCTTATTCCTCTTTTTTGGGGCAGAAAGTCTAGGTCGTTTAAAGGTAGGTTGAGTGTTCTTATTCCTCTTTTTTGGGGCAGAAAGTCTAGGTCGTTTAAAGGTAGGTTGAGTGTTCTTATTCCTCTTTTTTGGGGCAGAAAGTCTAGGTCGTTTAAAGGTAGGTTGAGTGTTCTTATTCCTCTTTTTTGGGGCAGAAAGTCTAGGTCGTTTAAAGGTAGGTTGAGTGTTCTTATTCCTCTTTTTTGGGGCAGAAAGTCTAGGTCGTTTAAAGGTAGGTTGAGTGTTCTTATTCCTCTTTTTTGGGGCAGAAAGTCTAGGTCGTTTAAAGGTAGGTTGAGTGTTCTTATTCCTCTTTTTTGGGGCAGAAAGTCTAGGTCGTTTAAAGGTAGGTTGAGTGTTCTTATTCCTCTTTTTTGGGGCAGAAAGTCTAGGTCGTTTAAAGGTAGGTTGAGTGTTCTTATTCCTCTTTTTTGGGGCAGAAAGTCTAGGTCGTTTAAAGGTAGGTTGAGTGTTCTTATTCCTCTTTTTTGGGGCAGAAAGTCTAGGTCGTTTAAAGGTAGGTTGAGTGTTCTTATTCCTCTTTTTTGGGGCAGAAAGTCTAGGTCGTTTAAAGGTAGGTTGAGTGTTCTTATTCCTCTTTTTTGGGGCAGAAAGTCTAGGTCGTTTAAAGGTAGGTTGAGTGTTCTTATTCCTCTTTGGCTATTGGTCTGATTATATTCTTTTACTACCAACCGCCCCCTCCCCCACATATTTGCTAACTTTTGCAATGCTTTACATTTTTATTTTTCTAGATCTCAAAACTGCCAGATGATTTTATCATGTAGCTAATTGTTTTATTTTGATACAAATTCTTGTAGTCTTTATTAACACACCCACATTTTTAAAAATGTTTCAGAGAAACACATTCCAGGCTGTCCTTGTTCTTGATGCGACTGGCCGGCAGTCTTTTATTATCCTGAACTATGCCAAGATTGAATGGACGACAGGATCCAACAGTGGGGCAGACGTACATATTGGCCTTGGCGGGATCCCCGCCCAGGTATGGCAGGTAGCTACAGTGTAAGGCTTGGTTGTCTCCCCCTCTACAGTTTTTAAAAAATATTTTTTAGGGACATTTTAAAATAACATTTTTGAAAATATTATTCAGGGACATTTTATAAATAAAATTGTACAATTGTAGACATGGGTCATTTTTGCCCAGCATTAAAAAATAAAATCAAATTTTTAAAATCAGCTGGTAAATTTAGCTGGGTTCACAGCTCTTTGGAAGTGCTGCATCTGATATTTATGTGCATTTCACACATACTTCATAGAAATATTACGTCCCTGGAAACATTACTTCACTGTTAATATTACATAGCTGTAAAACTTAAAAACTTACATCATTTTAAAAATTAGAGTGCTGTCAAAAATTTCATCACTATAAAAATTACATCACCTTAAAAATTACATCACCATAAAAATTACCTCACGTAAAAATTACGGCACTATAAAAATAACATCATTGTACTTGGTTGTATCATTGATATGTTAAAAGACTATTTAGTTTGAGTAATAATTTTACAAGTGCATTGAAGCTAGTCATTTATTGGTCATGTAGAACTGATCTGTGTAACTATTGGTTTGTTTAAACAGAAAACAACCAATCAAATCTTTGCACTTGAAATGGGTTTTTTTATTCTTCACTATGATGCACATTGCCAGTTGTAGACTAAGACTGCACTATTAAAAAACTATAATTTTTTTTTACTGTCATGTTATCTTAGAATGCACACCATTCCCTAGCACAGAAACTATAAATAAACCATTGCACCAATTTGCTGCATGTGTAGATATAAATGATCTCCCAAAGAGCAGGTGCACTCACAACACCACACACAATGTCTGCAGTTTGTGTAGCATCCTCTCATTCACACATTCCCACACCAAGATAAAATTCATATCTCCCCACATCTTGTGAATGCTAGTATTTCACCTTGTGTTACACCCATTGGAAAATGCACATGGATACCTTATGCAAATGAAGCGTAGAACTTTGATTTTCTGTTTTAGTAGTGCATCCATTTTTTCTCTGATACATTTCAGTTAATCAGCTTCCATATTATCAGACATGTTTATTCTAGCTTTTTAGTATTGAGTATTTTATAATTCTATCCCATCCTTCTTTCTTGGAGACACCAGTCTTATGCATGTTATTCTACCAAATTTTTTATCTCTTCATATTTTTTGTAAAGAAAGTTATTCTTTTTTTTTTTTAATTTAAAATTGGTTTTGGTATTAAATTTCATTCAGTGTAAGTATACCATATTAAGTTTTAAATAAAGAAATTTACTAAATATTTGATTTTCCATACAAGCTGCAATCCTGCTTTATTTCTTTAGGTACTTGATGCAAGAACAATAAGCTGTTGAATGATAGCTTGTTAGATAGTTGCCTCCCCTTTTTCTTGTTATTTCTCTAGCTAACTGAGCATTTTTACTGGCTTTGAGTAGACAGCTTGATTGAAAATAAAATGAAATCATAAACAATTATTTTTTTAATTAAATAAAAACTTATCAGCTTAAAAAGTTCACGCCAGGGATGGATTATTTCTATTAGCTCACCACTGACGGATCTCTACACTTCACAAAAGTAGAATTTTTAAGAAAAACAGCTTTTTAGTACCGACAATCTCACCCTAATAAATGTAACCAACCCTGACTTTAAAATCTAGGCTGTGACACCTTAGACACATTCTGAAGCAGAGCTTTAGATTGCTGGAAACTACTAGTGGGTTCTGTCAGTCAGCCACACCACTCACAAATCTTATAGACTGAATTTAGTTCTTCTTGCTATTACAGAAACTTAGAAACATTTCTAAAATGAAACAAGGAAATTCAAATTTCTTGATATTCAGAACCTGTCAAGAAATAGGGTCACCAATGACTGTGTCTTAAAATTGACCAAATATTTCATGTCTCTGCTTGTAGGCTGGCTTCAACGCTGGGGACAGGACCAACTTCTATGAGATAGATGGTGCCAACACTGAGGCTGTCATCAACCTGACAGAAACATCAAACCTGGGCATCCCAGGGAAGTGGATCTTCCGCATTGACTCCAGTCATATAGAAACTGGTTGTTCTCTCTCAAGTAAGGAAATATTTTTGTTGAGAAACTACCAACACAATGTCACAACACCACAACACACTTGCAACACCACAGCATGTAAACTAAACACCATGGCAAATAGTCTAAACATCACAGTACTTACAGCAGCACATTGCCATGCATCAAAATACCACATCACACAGGCCAAACACTTAACAAAACTTGAATGGTATTCTAAAGATACAGACCAAAAACTCCCACAAACAATTAGAAAATGAATGAATAATTTTAAAAAATCTGTAACAGTTATCTAACGTAACCATGAGCTAAACGTTGTCCCATGTCCACAGCATCAGGCGAGGTGTACCCACAGCCAGCGTACAGTTCAATGCTGGGTGGGGTGACCATTGGCATCTCAGGACCTTGTCTTAACTCCACGTCTGACATCCAAGGTCAGCTCCAGCAGCTGGGGCAAGATCTCTGTTGTTATGTTGAGGGTGAGCAGGCCAGGTGCATCCTTCCACCTGTCTTTGACACAGGTGTACTCACCATCTTGCTGAACGTGGATGGAAGGGGATGGAATTATTCAGGCAAATTTGAAATCAGTGAGTGCTAATGTAGACTGTTGAATGGGCATGGAAGGGGATGGAATTATTCGGGCAAATTTGAAATCAGTGAGTGCTAATGTAGACTGATGAATTGGGATATATTTTTTTAAACAATGATTGATGGATTAGTTTAAAAATGTTATGTTCTATTGTGCCTTTTCTTACCTGGATTAAAAGTTCTTTGAAATTGTTTCCACTAGAAAATGTCATGGATGTACCAGCAGAAATCACAAGAAAGAACCCTGAAGACTGGAGAACAGGGGTGAAGGTTTCTGTCAATTGGTCAGAGCCTTACTTCAACGCCAGCGAGTACCTCATTGAAATCTTAGTTTTTAAAGTAAGATAACCTACACTTTTTTTTATGGTTTACATGTTTAAAGTTAAATATTCCCATAGGCCACAAGCGTTCATGTCATTGACCTCAGATAAATTTAAGGTTTTTCTCAAAGTTTTGATTATTAACCTAATCCCAGTATTTTTATTGACTCTTTATGCCTTAATTCTACCCCAGAATGACAATGCATCATTGATATCTGTGTACAACAAAAGTTTTGAGCCACCCAGCAGTCGAGAATATGAGCTAGAAATGCCACCCAGCTCTGTGTTTTCAGGCTTCACAGTGGCTGTTGTTAGAATATCTGCTGCCAGTCTCTACTGCAACAAGTGAGATTTTGTTTTCTTGATATTTTGTTGTTTTCTTGATATTTTGTTGTTTTCTTGATATCTTGTTGTTTTCTTGATATTTTGTTGTTTTCTTGATATTTTGTTGTTTTCTTGATATTTTGTTGTTTTCTTGATATTTTGTTGTTTTCTTGATATTTTGTTGTTTTCTTGATATTTTGTTTCTCATATACTTGACACAACAAGAAACTAAATTGGTTTTCTGTTTTGTCCATTTTATCATTGCCTATTTGATTTCTAGGTCCAATTAGTTTCTTGTTGTGTTCATTAAACAAACAGCATTTTTTAACAGACTTATATTTTTTATACATCCTTTTTCTTTATATATTGTTGTAAAAATGTTTTAAATTTCAGCACTAGACCTGCCATCTACTCTGATGTTTTCCCTGTACGGTTCTCAAGGCGAGATTCAGAGAAGCTTTGCTCTGATTGGCTGTTGAAGCAGTCTTCATTGCCCCCACTTGACTTGACTGGGATTTGTCCGTGCACCCTGAGACAAGCAGAAGGAGACACCGCCCAGTTCAGCACTGATCCATTTTGTTACTCTTGGTCAAGCTCGCCACTCAACTGCCAGTATAGGTCAAAGGCAGCCGTCCAGTGTATTAGCCCAAATCATGTCAGGTATGTCTGGCCATGCTCTTTGCTACATCATCTTTTAACAAATCATTAAAAAAAAATTTATTGAAGGAAACTTTTACGTTAATAGTTTTTATAGATTAAAATTGAAAACCATCACTGCTTGCCTTTTGTATAAATATTTTACTAAAAATATCATTGGTGGAGGATTGTCAAGTTTTGAAGATAGCCAACCAATGAAATAAAGTGGGTGAAGCTATTATTTTTATGAATTAGAAATGTATCCACAAGTCAGTCAAATAAAGAGAGCATGTTTTGACCTTTCATATTTCTCCAACAGTGAGTACTCCTCTACATATCTCTGCTGCTATGACAAAAAGAGCAGTGAGCTGCTGAATGCCTTTGCTGGGAATGGTGGGGGTACTGTCCAGCTCTACAACTACCGCCAGAGGAGGACTGTTGATGATGACAGTATTGTCCCCTACTTCACCTACATGGAGATGGATTTAGTCCCCTATCTGCATTGCTGTGATTTCTCGTCTAACCAGACCCTGTGCAATCAATACCTAGGCTACAGGCAGCCTGTTGGCTGTAAGGGCTATGCACCTCCAGCTGCAGGTAATTTTAAATGTTGAATTATTACATTTTGAAGGAAGAACATTTTTTTTTTAAACTTAATTTTTTATAATAGTTTTAAACAAAAATAATATTTTTTAAAACCCTAAGTCATTTGCGTACATGGCAAAATAATGACTGGGCAGAAGGAACTGATTGTAAAATAATTTGTGGAGCTGATGGAATAGAGGGCAGAAAGAAAGTCAGGGTTGAAAGGGTTAAATGTTATTCTGCTTACATTTTTAGACTAACATTTATGATTGCCCCAATAAGTTGTGTACTCCAGCTAAACTAAGATTTCTGATTGCCCCAATAAGTTGTGTACTCCAGCTAAACTAAGATTTCTGATTGCCCCAATAAGTTGTGTACTCCAGCTAAACTAAGATTTCTGATTGCCCCAATAAGTTGTGTACTCCAGCTAAACTAAGATTTCTGATTGCCCCAATTAGTTGTGTCCAGCTAAACTAAGATTTCTGATTGCCCTAATAAGTTGTGTTGAACTAAACTAAGATATCTGATTGCCCCAATAAACTTTGCCCCTCAACAGCCCAAGCAGCTGGTGACCCACACATTGAAACCCTGGACCGTCTGAGCTACACCTTCAATGGGGTTGGTGAATACATCTTGCTGAGGGTCAAGGACACGGACACTGTTGTCCAGGTGAAGGCATCACAGGCCTTGGATGAGAAAGGTTTGTTTACTTTATCCTCATTCATTTATTTCTCATTCCTCTATACAACAGCTGACAAGTCAACAAACCCTCTATACAACAGGCATCACAGGCCTTGGATGAGAAAGGTTGGTTTACTTTATTCTCATTCATTCAACTCCTTCGTTTGAAACATTGGATCTTCTTGGTACTGCCTCCTGGTCTGTTGTATGGTTCTAATAACATCTTTCTAACCTTCAGGTGTAGAACAAAATGCGAGTGTGTTTACTGTATGGTTCTAATAACATCTTTCTAACCTTCAGGTGTAGAACAAAATGCGAGTGTGTTTACTGTATGGTTCTAATAAAATCTTTCTAACCTTCAGGTGTAGAACAAAATGCGACTGTGTTTACTGCGATGGCCTTGAACTCAAGTGGTCAGAGACTAGAGATCAGAGCAGAGAGCCTGGACCTAGTGGCTCTCTATGTCAACACTGTGGCCTTTGATTTAAGCACACCCATGGCTGTCTTGGAAGGTGAGAGCCTTATGCAGATGATTAGTAATCTTTAATTAGTCCAATGGTCACTTGATTGGGGAAATGTGTGCAAATATTGCTATGTAAACCTGTAGAGTAAAACAAAAGGACACCTAGATACCCTCTATGACAAACACCTTCAAAATTCTATAAAACCAAAGCCATAATTTAAGACAACCACTAACAGCATTGCAATTGATTTCAGGGATGACCATCTACAAAAATCAGACCCAGAATGACAGTGTGGAGTTGACCATTGTCCTAGAACAGACGGGGTTGTCTCTCCTTGTTGAAGCAACCACTGAAAAACTGTTGAACATCATGGTGATGGCTGGCTCCCAGCTTAAAGGTAAACACTTGTCAAACAATGTTAACATCAGCCATGTCATGTTAACACTTGTCAATGTTACATTAGCCATGCCATGTTAACACTTGTCAAACATTGTTAACATTAGCCATGTCATGTTAACACAAGTCAAACATTGTTAGCAATAGCCATGTCATGTTAACACTAGTCAAACATGGTTAACATTAGCCATGTCATGTTAACACAAGTCAAACATTGTTAGCAATAGCCATGTCATGTTAACACTAGTCAAACATTGTTAGCAATAGCCATGTCATGTTAACACTAACCAAACCGCATTAACCATGCAACAGCAAATACCTAGAAATCTAGTTTGAACAATGTAAACAATATCTATAACATTGTAGAATAAAACAGCACATACCTAGAAATCTAGTTTGAATGATGTAAACAATATCTATAACATTGTAGAATAAAACTTAAGGATGTGAATTGCTTAGCTGAGGGTATCAACACAACAACTTGCTGGAAGAATAAAACTTTTAATGTTAAGAAGAAAATACCTGGCTTTATCTACAGGTAAACTGGAGGGACTGCTGGGAAACTTCAATGGCGACCCAGCGGATGATCTGATGGCCAGTGATGGTAGACTGCTCTCCCCTGAGGCAAACATGCGAGACATCCACTTCAACTTTGGCCTGACATGTAGGTTGCTACTTCACCTCCTGGCACAAACTTTCTTTATTGCTGCTTCTATAGACCATAGGCAAAATAAACTGGCGCAAACATTCTTTACTGCTGCTTCTATAGACCATAGACAAAATAAACTGGCGCAAACTTTCTTTATTGCTGCTTCTATAGACCATAGGCAAAATAAACTGGCGCAAACATTCTTTACTGCTGCTTCTATAGACCATAGACAAAATAAACTGGCGCAAACTTTCTTTATTGCTGCTTCTATAGACCATAGGCAAAATAAACTGGCTCAAACTTTCTTTACTGCTGATTCTATAGACCATAGACAAAATAAACTGGCTCAAACTTTCTTTACTGCTGCTTCTATAGACCATAGACAAAACATACTGTCACAAACATTCTTTACTGCTGCTTCTATAGACCATAGACAAAATATACTGTCACAAACATTCTTTACTGCTGCTTCTATAGACCATAGGCAAAATAAACTGTCACAAACATTCTTTACTGCTGCTTCTCTATAACATACACAAAGTAACATGTTTTCTTGGTTTTCTGAAATGAATGTACTGATGTGGTCAATTTATTTTCTGTAACAAATAATTTTTCCTTGTAGGGGAAGTGCCAGCAAATACAAGTCTGTTTACCCGACTAGCATCAGACATGGAGGAGTCCAACTTAGCTGACGCTGCAACCAACCAGAGTTATGTCCCTGTATTTGTTGATGAAATAGTTCCCAGGCGCAATGATACATCTGTGCTATGTGGAAAAAATTTGCAATGCATGTACGACTATGAGTTGACAGGAAAGAAAAGTATTGCAATGTCAACTCTGAAGTTTAATGAGAGATATGAAGAAAGATTGAAAGAAATAGAACCAGGTTTGTCCAAGTTTTTTTAAATAATTTTTTTTTCTTTATGAATAACTTTGTAAAAGAATTATTTAAGTTAAATGCTTATATTTAAAAGGTAACTACTAGCTGATTATGTTTTTAAAATGTCTAGCTCTTTGAACAAATGTAGTTATAGAAGATAGAAAATCAATGTTTGTCTTCAGTAGGTTACTTTAGCACATAAGTAAAGCACTAATCTCACAAATTCTAAAGATCACATTTTTAATACTGTCAAATAAATAGCTAATAGATTTGTGCAATCATTGAAATTGTCAGTTTCAAATTATATTGTTGACACTTATCAGTTGTACACACCATTCCTGACATTTGAAAAGTTCAATAAAAAGTCTGTTAAAAAAGAATAAATATATTTGTTGAGCTGCCAACATTTTGGTTATGTAGTTGGTGCATCATCTTTTCAAAATTACCACTGCTAATTTTTTTACGTTATTGTCCACTGTGAATTTTTTTTTTAACTCCCATTTTTCTTATTGCCAGTTACCCGATGTGACTATGTTCCTGGAGTAGAAAATGGCAATTTTAACATAAGTGGCCAGAAGGTCAACGACACCGTTGTTGTGGAGTGTGACGAGGGTTTTGTCGTAAATGGGACAGTAACAGTTCTCAAGTGTCTGCCCAATGGACAGTGGAGCAGCTCACTTCCTTCTTGCTACAGAGGTTCTTTTCTTTATGACTTGGTTAATCTGTTCTTCTCACAGAATTCATTCTTTAATAACTGATTTATTTTTTTTAAAAGTGTCAGTGTTGTCATGGCAACTTGAGACAACTACTCAGATGATTGTACTAGTAATTTTGTTTTCAACAGTTCCAATAAAAGCAGAAGAAACATTTCCTTTGATTTATATTGCTGTTGGAGCTGCTTCTGGGGGCTTTGTTCTAGTCGTGTTGGTGGTGTTTGCTGTACGGCTCACGTGGGGGCGCAACAAACCAAAGCCAGGGAAAGATAACCAGACAGATCAAAGGTCAGATTAATTTGCATATTTTCTAAGAGCTTCACAGATTTCCAATTTTTGTTAACTTTAACTGAGTATGTTTTTGTAGAGAATGGTTTGAAAAAGTTTATTCTTTCAAATATTGTTTAGTTTCACATAGAATTTGAATTTTTCGTCATATTATTCTTGCAGCTCTGATTGTGGACACAGTATAGAGCTGCCAACCATTTTCCCCATATCTGACATTCCGTCTCCTGTATTTGAGAACCCGCTATTTTTGTCAAGGTCTGACCATTTCCTCTTGATTTACTTTGTAATGTATTTAAAGTGTAAATAAATGTTGCCTTGAATGTCCAGTACATAATGCAAGATTAAATAAGGAGGCTCAAAACAAACAACATTGTAATACTGTTTTTCTGTTCTTACTTACAGCCTACAGAAACTGAGTGAAAAAGGAAGCTTCCACATACCAAGGCCAACTTATGTAGACCCAAATATATACTCGGAGTACTTTTAAAAGACACTAGTGTTGGGTTACACTGACTTGATAGAATCAGCTAACACTTCCAACCTCAATTGTCAACCAGTGTCACCAAGCCCTCTCCATACCTTTGTACAACAGCTGACATCAAACCCTCTATACAACAGCTGAAAAGTCAACAAACCCTCTATACAACAGCTGACAAGTCAACAAACCCTCTATACATCTGACAAGTCAACAAACCCTATATACATCAGCTGAGAAGTCAACAAACCCTCTATACAACAGCTGACAAGTCAACAAACCCTCTATACATCTGACAAGTCAACAAACCCTCTATACAACAGCTGACAAGTCAACAAACCCTCTATACATTTGTACAACAGCTGACAAGGAAACTGGTAGGGGAAAGAAAAGTTTACAAAGACAGAAAAATGTGTGCCTTTACTTGAATGCACACGATAAAACTTCCAAGCATTCAAAAATAAAACAACGTAATGGCCATTTGGGAAGGTAATTGTGCAAGTCAGCAGGACTGACTTACATGGCCAACATGATTTACATTTATTATTCTAAGCATGCAAGAGAATTTATTGTTCCAGTGCCTATTTCATGATTCAGGAGAAAGCAAGCACATTATGGCATATCAACATCATCATCCATCTCTGAAGTGTATTTTATTTTCAGTGCACCAACTCTCAGCTAATTAACATCACACTTAAATGACCTTAGTGCTCTGAACTTGAGCAGACACATCTAAGTGCTGGTCTTAAGCACGCATTCCTTACACAATGTATTTGGCTCTGATTAAAATTATCTCCAGTGATGAGTGAAGAAAGTACAAAAATTGTTTATCTGACTTCTTGGGCGTACCACTGAGAAATTGAGGACAGTTGAATATTTTGGTGGGAACATTTGTTGTGCTTGCTCAAGCCATACATCAGGAATATCATGATACTGTATCTACTTCGCAGCAATTTCAAACATGGAACAGTCACATGAACTTTTATAAAACAAATACTTGAATTATGATTCAGTCGTCAACATAGGCCTGTAAACTCACAACATGTTTGTTGAGCTGAGGATTAAACCAGAAAAACAATGCAGCAGAGTGATGATAAAATCACAATACATGCACCCCTTGTTTGTTTATGGATTTCATCCTATGGGGATTGATACAGTCTCATGTGTGAGGATTGGTACAGTCTCATGTGTGAGGATTGGTACAGTCTCATGTGTAGGGATTGGTACAGTCTCATGTGTGATTATCAAAATACAGTAAAGACTTGTTTGAGCCAAAAAAAACAGATCACATGATTGACAGAGCCAACTTTAAAACCACAGTGTCCAGTTTTGGTACAGAAATAATGTCTAGCACTCAGACCAAATCTTGGACAACACAATATTTCTCTCTGTTGGTTGGCGTTTGTAAATTGAATGTAAGAAAAGATACCTCCTTTATATTTAGTCAACACATTTAAAATTTCTGTGCATAATGTTTTATTTGGATGTTATTCTTCATTAATTTTTTTATCGCAAAAAAAAAAGAATATTAACATATTTATTAAACATGTTAAAATATGAACTAATTAAACATGCTAAAGTGTTAAAAAGTTAACATTTTCATCATAAACATTTGAACATTAAAAATATGAAATGATTAACTAAACGTGTTAAAATATTAATGAACGGGGGAAAAATTGTCAGCTTTTCCAATATTTATCTGCTGCTGAAAGTATTTCTATATGTTTGATACCTACCCCAAAAAACAGTCATTCAAATTATGCTTGGCAAAGTTTCTAACAACTGTCCAATCCAACTAGAAATCTAATCCAATTTTTTTACTACTGGGTATGTGCTAATGTAGTACAAGGAAACTAGTTTCAGTTTATATGTCTACACAGTTGCTAATAAATAACAATCAATCTACTTCTAAAATTGGAGAATAGATTTGTTTAACTTTGTAGTATGTTGTAACACACTATTATACTCCAACAAGACTTAGTCATAATTAGTCATTTTATTTTTTGTACCTATATCTATTTGTGAATGTGTCCATGTAGTTGTATGGACTTGAGAAGGCATGCAAATCTTCATAGTGTGCTTTACTATGTAGTTAATGAGTTAACTAAGTCTCAGATTGGTAGCAGTTAGCATTTTGTTGATCACAGCACATTTGTACTATACATTTGAAAAAATCTGGCTAAAAGTTTGAGTGAATCAGGAACATTAAAATGTGAGCTGAACTTTGTGCCATATGTCACTGTAAATGTGCATCAATAATATAGCACACAAATATTTTCTATATAATTATCATCCTTTTGTTTGAGTGTCCTCCTCTGCACATTTAATGATACCTATATAATGAGATGCATAATTTTTTTATACTAGTTCTACAAGTTTGAGTATAGCAGGGCTATCTAATATTGTAGATGCTTCAACTTTAGATAAGTTCATTTTTGACATTTATTTACTCATGTTAAATGTAGTTGTCTTAAAATTGAATCATTTTCCGACAATACCCAATCAATGTCTGTAGCATAACCCAGCTCATTATCTTTTGTTTCCTTTATTTTTACCAAGAAAAATCAGGAGCCTGTTTTTAATGTGTGGTAGACTCCATTATTGTCTATAATTACATTTACTGACTTTTAATTTTTTATGAACAGGAACAGAATAAATCATTAAAATGCTTTTTAATTTAAAAAATAATTCTTAAAACTAGATTTTTTTTAAAATTGTGATTTTTAATTAACTCTTTTTACAGAATGTTATTTTAATAGTCAAATTTTTATCATAACAAAATTCTTATTTAAAAATGTATTCCAAAGGTGCCATTGAAAAAATGTTATCAAATGTTACTTTTAAAATGCTTAAATCATCTACTTAATGTTTTTTTTTAAAACTATACTGCTAGTTCGCTAGTACTTTTTGTACATTAGAAAATAAATAACTTCATAATTTTCTGTTTAGCTAGAAGTACTTGAGTAATTAGCAAATAATATCCACCAGGGACATTAACAATCAGCCAATATGTATAATTTATCTAGTTTTTTCTTCTTCTAATTTTAGTATGGAAATGTATTTTGTAGCTATTTATAAAATAGAGTTTTGTGTTTCTTTAATGCTCTTTGATGTATGAATAGTTTAATCAAAATATGTTAACAAGTGAATGCATAAGTAATAAAAGTATATGTGTGTGTATATATATATATAGATACATACATAGATAAAAGTGTGTGATTCACAGAATACAAGCTTCCTATTGTTATCATTATCTTCTATCTAGTCAAACCTGTTAATATTACTTCTGATCAATTGTTTGTTTTACTTGCTACGAGAACCTGAACTCATGTATCTGCCATTTTTAAACCTGTAGATAATGGGTTTTTAATTTGTTGTTGTATCATACCTACAGATAACCATGAGTGTAGCATAATTCTATATTAATTATGTCACAGGCAGATCGTTATAAATTATTATTTGATCTGAGATGAGACGTTAATTAGCAATATTTTCAGGTGTTTTTCCGCAAAGTCAGTTTGTGAAATTTCAAATGTTTGTACCGGTGCCTTTGTATTTTCTACATTACAACCATATTTACTTAAAGCTAATTCGAATGCTAATATTTATTTTTAAAGTTCACGTGTCTTATGGGCGATATGTTTTCTGCTTACTTATTTTTTGTTTGTTTGAAAAGTGTTTTCAAATAACTTAATATTGCACTTATTCATTAACTTATTTTAAACTGTATATTTCTTATAAAAATGTATATAGTAGTGGATAAATTTCATGTATCCCTGCCCCACTTAAAACAAGAGCCTGTCAAGCATGGGGGGGGGGGGAGAGAGATTCTGAACTGGTTTTTTTTGTTTAAATAAGATCTTTATTCGCATTTGTCATGAAGTTGTCCTGTTCTTTTTTCAATTTTGAAACTTTTTCTGTCTGACCTTGTTTACTAGAATCAGAATTTTTTTGTCACATGCATGTTTGCCTACACCTATTTTTATCCTCAGCAATAACAACATATTCCCAACAGCAACCTGTCTACAACACCAACCTGTCCACAACACCAACCTGTCTACAACACCAATCTGTCTACAACACCAACCTGTCTACAACACCAACCTGTCCTCAACACCAACCTGCCCCCAACACCAACCTGCCCCCAACCTGTCCCCAACACCAACCTGCCCCCAACACCAACCTGTCTACAACACCAACCTGTCTACAACACCAACCTGTCCCCAACACCAACCTGTCTACAACACCAACCTGTCCCCAACACCAACCTGTCCCCAACACCAACCTGTCTACAACACCAACCTGTCTACAACACCAACCTATCCCCAACACCAACCTGTCTACAACACCAACCTGTCCCCAACACCAACCTGTCCCAACCTGCCCCCAACACCAACCTGTCTACAACACCAACCTGCCCCCAACACCAACCTGTCCCCAACACCAACCTGCCCCCAACACCAACCTGCCCCAACACCAACCTGCCACCAACCTGTCCCCAACACCAACCTGTCTACAACACCAACTTGTCTACAACACCAACCTGTCTACAACACCAACCTGCCCCCAACACCAACCTGTCTACAACACCAACCTGTCCCCAACACCAACCTGTCTACAACACCAACCTGTCCCCAACACCAACCTGCCCCCAACACCAACCTGCCCCCAACAACAACCTGCCCCAACACCAACCTGCCACCAACCTGTCCCCAACACCAACCTGTCTACAACACCAACCTGTCTACAACACCAACTTGTCTACAACACCAACCTGTCTACAACACCAACCTGCCCCCAACACCAACCTGTCTACAACACCAACCTGTCCCCAACACCAACCTGTCTCCAACACCAACCTGTCTACAACACCAACCTGTCCCCAACACCAACCTGCCCCCAACACCAACCTGTCTACAACACCAACCTATCCCCAACACCAACCTTTCCCCAACACCAACCTGTCTACAACACCAACCTGTCTACAACCTGCCACTAACACCAACCTGTCCCCAACACCAACTTGTCTACAACACCAACCTGCCCCCAACACCAACCTGTCTACAACACCAACCTGCCCCGAACACCAACCTGTCTACAACACCAACCTGTCTACAACACCAACCTGTCCCCAACACCAACCTGCCCCCAACACCAACCTGCCCCCAACAACAACCTGTCTACAACACCAACCTGCCCCCAACACCAACCTGCCCCCAACACCAACCTGTCCCCAACACCAACCTGCCCCCAACACCAACTTGTCTACAACACCAACCTGTCTACAACACCAACCTGCCCCCAACACCAACCTGTCTACAACACCAACCTGTCTACAACACCAACCTGTCTACAACACCAACCTGCCCCCAACACCAACTTGTCTACAACACCAACCTGTCCCCAACACCAACCTGTCTCCAACACCAACCTGTCTACAACACCAACCTGTCCCCAACACCAACCTGTCTACAACACCAACCTATCCCCAACACCAACCTGTGCCCAACACCAACCTGCCACCAACCTGTCCCAAACACCAACCTGCCCCCAACACCAACCTGTCTACAACACCAACCTGTCCCCAACACCAACCTTTCCCCAACACCAACCTGTCTCCAACACCAACCTGTCTACAACACCAACCTGTCTACAACACCAACCTGCCCCCAACACCAACCTGCCCCCCAACACCACCTGTCTACAACACCAACCTGCCCCCAACACCAACCTGCCCCCAACACCAACCTGCCCCCAACACCAACCTGTCTACAACACCAACCTGCCCCCAACACCAACCTGCCCCCAACACCAACCTGCCCCCAACACCAACCTGCCCCCAACACCACCTGTCTACAACACCAACCTGCCCCCAACACCAACCTGCCCCCAACACCAACCTGCCCCCAACACCAACCTGTCTATAACACCAACCTGCCCCCAACACCAACCTGCCACCAACCTGTCCCCAACACCAACCTGCCCCCAACACCACCTGTCTACAACACCAACCTGTCTACAATACCAACCTGTCTATAACACCAACCTGCCCCCAACACCAACCTGCCACCAACCTGTCCCCAACACCAACCTGCCCCCAACACCAACCTGTCTACAACACCAACCTGTCTACAACACCAACCTGCCCCCAACACCACATGTCTACAACACCAACCTGCCCCCAACACCAACCTGCCCCCAACACCAACCTGTCTACAACACCAACCTGTCCCAAACACCAACCTGTCTACAACACCAACCTGCCCCCAACACCACCTGTCTACAACACCAACCTGTCTACAATACCAACCTGTCTATAACACCAACCTGCCCCCAACACCAACCTGCCACCAACCTGTCCCCAACACCAACCTGCCCCCAACACCACCTGTCTACAACACCAACCTGTCTACAATACCAACCTGTCTATAACACCAACCTGCCCCCAACACCAACCTGCCACCAACCTGTCCCCAACACCAACCTGTCCCCAACACCAACCTGTCTACAACACCAACCTGTCCCCAACACCAACCTGCCCCCAACACCAACCTGCCCCCAACAACAACCTGCCCCAACACCAACCTGCCACCAACCTGTCCCCAACACCAACCTGTCTACAACACCAACCTGTCTACAACACCAACTTGTCTACAACACCAACCTGTCTACAACACCAACCTGCCCCCAACACCAACCTGTCTACAACACCAACCTGTCCCCAACACCAACCTGTCTCCAACACCAACCTGTCTACAACACCAACCTGTCCCCAACATCAACCTGCCCCCAACACCAACCTGTCTACAACACCAACCTATCCCCAACACCAACCTTTCCCCAACACCAACCTGTCTACAACACCAACCTGTCTACAACCTGCCACTAACACCAACCTGTCCCCAACACCAACTTGTCTACAACACCAACCTGCCCCCAACACCAACCTGTCTACAACACCAACCTGCCCCGAACACCAACCTGTCTACAACACCAACCTGTCTACAACACCAACCTGTCCCCAACACCAACCTGCCCCCAACACCAACCTGCCCCCAACAACAACCTGTCTACAACACCAACCTGCCCCCAACACCAACCTGCCCCCAACACCAACCTGTCCCCAACACCAACCTGCCCCCAACACCAACTTGTCTACAACACCAACCTGTCTACAACACCAACCTGCCCCCAACACCAACCTGTCTACAACACCAACCTGTCTACAACACCAACCTGTCTACAACACCAACCTGCCCCCAACACCAACCTGTCTACAACACCAACCTGTCCCCAACACCAACCTGTCTCCAACACCAACCTGTCTACAACACCAACCTGTCCCCAACACCAACCTGTCTACAACACCAACCTATCCCCAACACCAACCTGTCCCCAACACCAACCTGCCACCAACCTGTCCCAAACACCAACCTGCCCCCAACACCAACCTGTCTACAACACCAACCTGTCCCCAACACCAACCTTTCCCCAACACCAACCTGTCTCCAACACCAACCTGTCCCCAACACCAACCTGTCTACAACACCAACCTGTCTACAACACCAACTTGTCTACAACACCAACCTGTCTACAACACCAACCTGCCCCCAACACCAACCTGTCTACAACACCAACCTGCCCCCAACACCAACCTGCCCCCAACACCAACCTGCCCCCAACACCAACCTGTCTACAACACCAACCTGCCCCCAACACCAACCTGCCCCCAACACCAACCTGCCCCCAACACCAACCTGCCCCCAACACCAACCTGCCCCCAACACCAACCTGCCCCCAACACCAACCTGTCTACAACACCAACCTGCCCCCAACACCAACCTGCCCCCAACACCAACCTGCCCCCAACACCAACCTGCCCCCAACACCAACCTGCCCCCAACACCAACCTGCCCCCAACACCACCTGTCTACAACACCAACCTGCCCCCAACACCAACCTGCCCCCAACACCAACCTGCCCCCAACACCAACCTGCCCCCAACACCAACCTGTCTATAACACCAACCTGCCCCCAACACCAACCTGCCACCAACCTGTCCCCAACACCAACCTGCCCCCAACACCACCTGTCTACAACACCAACCTGTCTACAATACCAACCTGTCTATAACACCAACCTGCCCCCAACACCAACCTGCCACCAACCTGTCCCCAACACCAACCTGCCCTCAACACCAACCTGTCTACAACACCAACCTGTCTACAACACCAACCTGTCTACAACACCAACCTGCCCCCAACACCACATGTCTACAACACCAACCTGCCCCCAACACCAACCTGCCCCCAACACCAACCTGTCTACAACACCAACCTGTCCCAAACACCAACCTGTCTACAACACCAACCTGCCCCCAACACCACCTGTCTACAACACCAACCTGTCTACAATACCAACCTGCCCCCAACACCAACCTGCCACCAACCTGTCCCCAACACCAACCTGCCCCCAACACCAACCTGCCCCCAACACCAACCTGCCCCCAACACCAACCTGTCTATAACACCAACCTGCCCCCAACACCAACCTGCCACCAACCTGTCCCCAACACCAACCTGCCCCCAACACCACCTGTCTACAACACCAACCTGTCTACAATACCAACCTGTCTATAACACCAACCTGCCCCCAACACCAACCTGCCACCAACCTGTCCCCAACACCAACCTGCCCCCAACACCAACCTGTCTACAACACCAACCTGTCTACAACACCAACCTGTCTACAACACCAACCTGCCCCCAACACCACATGTCTACAACACCAACCTGCCCCCAACACCAACCTGCCCCCAACACCAACCTGTCTACAACACCAACCTGTCCCAAACACCAACCTGTCTACAACACCAACCTGCCCCCAACACCACCTGTCTACAACACCAACCTGTCTACAATACCAACCTGCCCCCAACACCAACCTGCCACCAACCTGTCCCCAACACCAACCTGCCCCCAACACCACCTGTCTACAACACCAACCTGTCTACAATACCAACCTGTCTATAACACCAACCTGCCCCCAACACCAACCTGCCACCAACCTGTCCCCAACACCAACCTGCCCCCAACACCAACCTGTCTACAACACCAACCTGTCTACAACACCAACCTGCCCCCAACACCAACCTGCCCCCAACACCAACCTGCCCCCAACACCAACCTGCCCCCAACACCAACCTGGCCCCAACACCAACCTGTCCCTAACAACACCACCTGTCTTAAATATCACCACTTGTATCTGACATGAACATCCATGTATGTTTAATAAAAGGGAGCCTTCTTGTATAAGGCCTATCCATTTTAATACTGATTGATCCTAATTTATAAAAACTACCCGATGAAGCATGACTTGGTAATATGGGAATCATGAACTATATTCAACAGGCATTGATTTTTACCACAACCTAATACAAATTGTTGTACTGATAAATTAC